GTGTGTATGTATGCCTGTGTGTGCGTACGTGCGTGTGGGTGTGMGTGTTTYTTGTGTAAGCTGAAAGACGCGAAAAATTATTGAAATATCTATTGCTCCAAGGGTTCAGGGGATCTCGTAGTCGAGCAGTCTCGACTAGAGCTTTCTTACTTGTTTTTAAATTGAATATTACAAAATTTGCTGAGGAAGCTCCAGAAATGAATAGATAGATTAAATATACTTCGACTTGGGATTCCTTTCAAGTTGCTTTCGCAACAATGAAACATTCAGTCATTCGCATTACCAACTGTAGAATAAATACTCACTCACACCCAATCAACAATTTAGTAGCTAAGTTTTGAGTTTCTACCTCTAATACCGTAGAAAATGCAGTTTTTCCCGATTTGCAACGCCAATAGTAGCCACAGACTCCTCATTTTTGGCCTGTTTTTAGGTTGAGCTAATGGTAACCTAACTGTAATGTTTGAATGCTTACGCTAAAGAATGTGAAAATTACAGGATATTTTTCGATATGCCACGCCCCTAAAGAGGCGTAACAATTATTATTATTTTTCATCGATGTAGGAGGTTACCAGTAACTCAACTATCAAAATTTAAAGTTTCTAGCTCTTAAACTGCAGGATGTGTTTTCTTCTTTTAATAGTGCCCAAAGTATAAGAGAATTTGAAAAATCACTATATCTTCAGGTCCCATTTGCCACGCCCCTCGTGTGCCATAGGTTGTTGATCTTTGGTGGTCGACACGGATTTACATCCAAATTTTAGCTTTTAGCTCATTAATTAATATGATATCTGGTATATCGAAAAATGCATTTTCTGTTTTGCCACGCCCCTAGTGGGCGGATCAGAAAAATTTAACACTTTATAAATTGAAGATATACACGAATAGGTGTTCCAAATTAGAAGTCTCTAGTTTCAACAGCGCCGAAAGAGACAGACAGACAGCCGCACAAAACGGAAATGCACGAAATCAATATACTTTCTCATTTCAATTTCGTGAATGCGTATAAAAACAAGTGAGAAACCCTGAACCCTTCGAGGAACTGCTAATTCAAAATTTCTTCGCGTCATTCTCCTTGCACACGAAACACATAGACAGCATTAAGTCCAGCATTAACAGAGATGAGCTGAAGCGTGGGCTTACTATTGGAAATGAGTTGTTCAATAACTTTTCTTGTAGATAGACTATTTTCATGAAATGAGTGCATTTGCTAGTCTTTTACAAAACAGGTAAACGCGACCTGCGCGCTATATATACGTTCATTAAAAAAAATGCAAATCTTCAGATTTATATCTTCTGAAATCGATGCGTTCAAGCATACGGACAGACAGGCTAAATCACCTCAGCGCGTCGTCCTGATCAAGAATATATATACTTTGTGGGGTCTGCCAGGTATCCTTCTGCCTGTTACATACATTTGAATAAAATCATTAAACTCTGATTTCCCATTTGCAATGGGTTTAAGGTATACAAATTAATATAATTGAGTTAAAGTTAGCCTAATATATTGGAAATTTTATAGAACAAAAGTATATCGATGACAGATATGTACCTGGATAGTACGGATTCAAGTGAAAACGTCGGACAGATTCACTTTTCATTGGAATATGATTTTCAAAATACGACGCTAATATTAAAAGTACTGCAGGGCAAAGAGCTGCCAGCGAAGGACTTAAGTGGAACTTCCGATCCCTATGTGCGAGTGACATTATTGCCAGATAAAAAGCATCGCCTGGAGACCAAGATAAAGAGAAGAACTTTGAACCCGCGCTGGAATGAAACATTCTATTTCGAGGGCTTTCCAATACAAAAGCTGCAATCGCGAGTAAGTGAGGCAATGCGGAAGATGTTCGCCTCATAGATTAGAAATTAATTAATTAAAATTATTTAGGTTCTTCATTTACATGTCTTCGATTATGATCGTTTCTCAAGAGACGATTCCATTGGTGAAGTATTTTTGCCGCTGTGCCAGGTAATATTATTGTTCAACATAACAGATAGCAGTTATATATGCGCCTTTTAGGTGGACTTTGCTGGCAAGCAATCATTTTGGAAGGCCTTGAAGCCGCCAGCCAAGGATAAGTGCGGCGAGCTTTTATCTTCACTATGCTATCATCCTTCAAACTCAATTTTAACGCTGACATTAATCAAAGCAAGGAATCTAAAGGCTAAAGATATCAATGGAAAGTCAGGTAAATGATATATATGAAAACAAGTAAGAACGTTGCAGTCGGGCGTTACCGACTGCGGAATACTCATTCACATCCCATCAACAATTTAGTAGTTAAGTTTCGTTCTAATACTGTTGAATATACAGGTTTTTCCGATTTGCCACGCCCCAACTGGGCGTAGACACCTCATTTTTGGTCAGTTTTTAGAAAGAGATAACGTTACCCTAACTGCAAAGTTTGAATGCTTACCCTAAAAAAATGTGAAAATTACAGGGTATTTTTCGATATGCCACGCCCCTAAAGAGGCGTAAAAATTATTTTTGGGGAATCGATAGAGGAGGCTACCAGTAACTCAACTATCCAAATTTGAAGCTTCTAGCTATTATACTTTAGGAGATATAAACTTTTGCGGTTTGCCACGCCCCCTGTGGGCGGACATATATCCGACAAAACTTTTTGGTCTTGGGTGATCAGTCCGAGTATATATACAAAATTTGAGGTCTCTGCCATCAATAGTGTCCAAAATATAGGAGAATTTAAAAAATCACTATATCTTCAGGTCCGATTTGCCACGCCCCCAACGGGCGTAGACTTATAATTTATCTTCAGACTTTATAGAATCATACCATTAGCTGACGTGCAAAATTTCAGCATTCTAGGTTTACAACTTTAGGAGATACAGTTTTATCCGATTTGCCACGCCCCCAATGGGCGTAGATATATCCGCCATAGCTCGTGATCTTGGGTGGTCAACGCGGACCTACATACCAAGTTTCAGCTTTCTAGCTCTTCAACAAACATGATTTCTGGTATATCGGAAAATGCATTTTCCGATTTGCCACGCCCCTAGTGGGCGGATCGGGAAAATTTTAACACTTTATAAATCGGAGATATACACGAGTATGTGTTCCAAATTTCAAGTCTCTAGCTTCAATAGCGCCGAAATAGATTGCGTTCATACGGACAGACGGACAGACGGACNTATATATATCAGAAGAAGATTACCAACTAAGATCTCAATGAAGCACACCTAAGATAAGCAGCATTTRAGTCAAAGCTTCAATTGCAGTAAAGCTGCATATACTCGTTCACGAGTATATATTTTCAAATTTGTTGAATTTTCTTGGCTTTATTAAACGTTGGTCTAAGGAATTTAAAGATCCTTTTATTACCAAGCAATTACTAATTTCGCTTGTGCGTCCTATCTTAGAGTATTGCTCAGTTGTATGTATCAGGATAGTATTGAATCTGTCCAAAAACAGTTTCTTCCCTTTGCCTTAAGGGATCTAAACGTCTACCGTCTAACCATAGTAGACTTCAGCTGATTAATCTTCCATCGTTAATGTGTCGCAGAACAGTTTTAGGATTATCGGTAATATTGATTCGTCCTTTTTGTTGATGCGACTTAAAATTTCTGTTCCGTCCGCTTCATGTTCATTTGTGCTCTAGGATTATTATTCGCACAGTACGTTTAATATTTTACGTGTTAATTATAATAAATAGTATCACGTCTTTTCCTTAGAGCTCTGTCTCCTTATAATAAAATCCTTGCTTTAAGCTTACCTTAGGAAAATTACTCGCAGTGCCCAGGTATAAGAACTGGTATGTATTTTGTTGCCAATGTTTGTGCAGTGATTTCACAATCCTATCCTATAGTGTATTTTGAGCTCTTCTTTTACTCTTTTTTTATCACTTATTCCTTTTTCTTTTCACTCTCTTATAATATTTTCCGTTTTCTTTACTAATTTTTATCTTATTCATGATTATAATTGTAATTACTTTAATTATATGTAAGCTCTTTTAATATTTATTTTAAGTTTTTCATTTAACAATTTCTGTTCTTCACAGTTTCAATAGTATCACTGATCATATTTGGCTGTGAAAAGCGGCATAGCTGGCCGGGCTGGCAGATAAAATACCCCCATCGGGTTGGTGATACTATTGTAATAATTTTCTGTACTTATTTTTGGCTATATAATTTTAGTATTAGTTGACTCCAGTAATGTCAATATCTTTTTAATAAATAAATAAATAAATATGAAGTGCTTCGATTTTTCTGATTACTTTTCCTTCCTTCCTKTTCCCATTTGCCACATTCAACAGCAAAATATGTCCAAATGATATTTACTTGTATAGAAAGATAAATAGTCCTCTAGATCTCAGAAACTACGTAGTCTTAGCTCAACCTCTCATTTCCTTATCCGATTACACAAGCCCCGACGCTGATCAATATAAAGAAATACATATCTAGATTCCAGTCTCATAATCGAACAGGAACGATTCTACGCATATAGAAACCCCTTAATTGACCTAAATGCTTCTTCCAGGTCACCCATACCTCCGCTTTGTACCTCGTGAACGAGTATTATAATGCTTAAGGAAAAAAGCTTTGCACTTAGCAGATATTGACTTCAATCAAGGTCTAATTCAAATCTGAATTATGAACTAGTAGTCAGAAGCTAGCGAAGTTGAACGAACAATTCATTGTGCAAAAAAAAAAAAATGTTTACTCCATCAAAATTAATATAAAGAAAAGGTTTTTCCTCATATTTTTTCTTAAAACTAAATCAGCTTAACCTTTTAATGATTTGTGCGTTATTTATATTTAATATAAACAAGTAATGGAAACGGAATTAAATTTAAAAGTTAATTTAAATCTAAAGAAACTTAATTAGCGAATCAATTGAAAAGAAAGTATATAATAAAACACACCAAGAAAAAAAAAAACACTAATATATGTATATACTAAAAACGTTGTTTGTTATTAATTAATTACGTACATATATATAA